GGGCACCATGTCTGATATGCAGTGTTGCTCAACTCTGGTTTTCACAAAGGGAAGGGTGAAATTTAATCTGTAACAAAAGAGGAGAGAAAGGTACAAATCGAAAGGAATGCAAATATAGGCAGAGAGTGCAGAAGCCTACACACACATTATGAACTGTCCTCCCAAGAATCTTATTTTTGGGTGGTGACACAAAGCAGAAAAATAATGATTTCAGAATTGAAGGAGCAAAAAAAAATAAAAGCAGGCACATACTCACCCTTGTTTAGAAATCATGTTTGTTTGGAAGTAAAGTTGTGAAGGTTGTGAAATTTTGCATTTATAAACATAGAAAGGAATGATGGATTCTATACAAAAGAAGTAAATGACAAAAAAACCTCAAACCTAATTTTACTCAGGCAATGGTATATACTGAAGAGTTGTGAGAGGACAGGCAATAATGAGGTCTCCATGATGCTATTTCAGTGATAACAACAACAACAAAGACATTGACTTAAAGATAACCCTTGTATTACTACAGAAACCATTCATTCAAGGCATGTTTTATCTTAATAATTGGATAATTGAGTTGCTGATCTATAGAAAGGGAGCAAGTCCAAATCAGCATTACATGACAACAAGGAAACGTGCATCCTACTTGGTGACTTTTAAAAAAGACAGCTCATACCAGGGTTCATTCATAAATATTTGGCAAGACAGGCCAACATAACAACATACATTCGTATAAAAGATGGCAAGTACAAACAGCACCGTTTTCTACCCTAGGAAAAGCATCCTACCATGCAGTCACATCTCATCCAAGCTTCATAATATATGAGGCATGTATACAAAGGCCTATGTCAATAAATGTGCCTGGGATCCAATTAGCTACAGACCAAGTGCTATAGAAATGTCTGTATGGAAACTGACATTTTCTCATGGATAAAACAAAACGAATAAAGTAGAAGTATCTTTGTAAATTACAACGTTTATCTTTTATTCTTGATCAGCATTCTCTCTTTCAGTTTTTCAAGGTGAAATAAAGTTTAATGACACCTTGCTTTGAAGCTAAGTGGCCTAATATGATAGAATTATCATACTTTTTTATCTATGTTTAATTGATTTTTCTCCCTTCTTAAAGGGCAGATAAGTCCAGCTCTATAGCAGAGCACATGGCAAAGTTATATGAATCAGCACAACATTCTAGTTTATGATGTGTTTTCTGACACTGTTCAAAGTGTCCTTGAATGTAAGGACAGGTTGAGTGCAAATATGAGTATTATTCCCAGTCCTACATTAGTAGAAGAAAAATTATAAGACACTTTTCCCTTTAAGCTCAAAAGACATAGAATCCTTAGAAATCTCCAGATATAAATGTCTTTTATATGTAGTTTTTAACTTATTTTCATTGACTATGAATTACTGGAAATGCTCTCACTTTCCTTAAAAATATTATTAGTTATGAACGCCTGTGAAGTCTTTGTTATAGTACTAAGCTTCTCATGATCTTATATTCTAACTTAGTATAAAGAATCAGTATGGATGTATGTCATGTCCAGTTATTAGCCCACAAGTGTGTTAAAAAATTAAAAGCTATTACTTTTGTATTCTAATAGAAAATTGACAGGAATTTTACAATATCTCATGTGTTTCCCCTCAATTTCTGTTAAAAATGTTAAATCACTGTCCATTCTTAGGCTTTCTATACTATTGGTTTAATTTTGAAGGAGACATTGAAAAACATATTTTAAATTGGATGCTATTAATCTGACCTGAAAGATTTCAGAATCACTTCAAGTTTACAGCAATAAAAATTGAGAAATAAGTTGAGTGATACATTAAAGACAAAGGTTACAGTTAGATGAGACTAAAACACTAAGGCAACTTTTTTTTTGCTACTATGCCAAGTGTTTTGTGTTTTATGATTATTGAGGTAAATTTCTATCCTAGGGAAATGGCTTTTCTCATGGGATTCTAACAATACATATCTTTCCAATTGAGGTTACCGAACACCTACTTCTGACATTTTTGGCCTATAAGGCAATGCATGGGTATCAAATGTGTTTACACAGGTAACATTTAATGACCACTGGTGGAATATATACATTGATAAATCACATATTCATCACTAGTGCAAAGAGCTTGAAGTTACATTTTTCTCTACTATTTTTATACTTGCTAAGGTAAAATTTCTGGTTGCATTATGAAGGAGTGCTAGAGTGTCTTTATATGTTACAAAAGACTCATTTTCTCTTCCACTGTCACTATATTTATTAAATATGATATTTAACTTTCATATTTATGGTTTGGTACTGCCCTTGGTTGCTACTTTGTTTATTATATAAATTTCTAATTTTTATTATATACCTGTTTAAACTTTTAGGATGTAGATATGGTTATGTCTTAGGCAACTGGATCCTGTAACTTAGATTCATAGACTCTGGCACTTATTTCCTGTGGTCACAATAAATAAGTATCATGAAGTTGCATGAAATCCAAAAGAATGTTTATGTTCTCCAATATGATTGACTTTATATCTCTTGTGATATCATATGTTGGCTGATTATATTTATAGCTGTGTGTAATAGGTTGTCTAAATCTTACATTTTTGGTTGTGAGGGCATGTTGTGTTTGACACCTGTGATACTTTGGAGTATCCTCTTAAGGGCATCAAAAATTAAACAAACTTTTTGCTAAGTTTGCTAAAAAAGGTCTCATCACCATCCCCAAGGTTGTTTTTGTGTATACTACAATCTCACAGACTCAAAACTATCAATAACTCACTTCCTTTATTAGTTTCTGGAAATAACTCCAAAAACTTTTTTAAAAAGATTCTTTTCATGAGTCATATTAACATGTCTATTTGATAATAACATCCATTCTTCTTCAGACAGCACATTGAGTTTAGTCAATATGGACACACTGGTTATTCTACTATAAGATCCACAAAAGCATGAGTCTGTATTTGTACCACACCAGAGATATCAACACAATTTGTAGAACTTGCAAATATTACATTACGATGCCTAGGATCCAGCATATATACTATCATACATGTATTGGAATTACCACTAAAGTCTGGGCAATGTTTTGATCCACCACATTATCACTCCTAGAAAGGAAATGAAAATAAGTACATAGTCTATGAAAAGTCAAATTATGTGTTAATAAAAATGATTATAGGCAATCTGACTAATAAATGTGACATTTGCTTATTTCTGTAAACCAGTCTGTATCCTTCATTACTTAGTAATTATTTTTTGGTAATCATTACTTAGTAATTTATTATATTCGATTCAGAAAAGCCTTGCTCTCTGGTTGATAACAGAAGTTGTCTTTGCTAGTAGTACATAATGTTCTCTAATTCAGCTCTGTAAACTTTGTAATTATAAAGAGTGTCTGTATTCACCTGCTATGAATGCCATCTCTGAAGACACTTTGTTCTCAAATGGGACAATAGTTAGATTCTCAAACTTTTCTTCATATCTTATGTAGAATTACTGATTCATAGAGAATTCAGATTAGATATTTTAACGCTTCATTCAACCTAGTTAATAATATACAGAGCAATATATGACTAAAATGATAAACTATAGTGTCATTTTATGTAAAGAACCTTGTCATGTTTACAATTGTGTTTTTGCTTGGTAAAGTAACAAAAATAGTGAAACAGAAGAATATTCATGGATGAGTTTTCCTTTTAATTTGGGAAATGCTAACTTTTCATGTTACTAGTGATGAGATGATGAAACATATATTTAATAGATTGCATGTCTACTGACACTGAACTGATACATTATGTTGTTGACCTATGGAAATTTATTCCTCATTATTTTTGAATTACTACTGGTGTGTGCTAGGTTAATTAGTCGCTCTCCTTTTCACTACTCAATTAAAATTGACATCTTTAAAAAACAAATGTCTAGTGAAAGAAGAGTCAGCCACCTTACAAAGTTCTCAGTATAAACGGTCAAATGGAATACCAGTGCTTGTGATTATGTTGTACTTATTATTTTCTTATCTATTGTTATCTTACAGCTTGATAAATGTCCCAGTCAAGAAAGAAATCATATGTGCCTCTTTTTATCACATAAACCTCTTCTCATATTCAAGTAAATAGAATCCAAATCTTATCTATAACATTAGCCAGAATTCCAGTAAAATGATAGACTCTTTCCTGCTTAATGCTATGGTTATTTTCTAGCCCTTATATACCTGGTCCTGTGATGAATCAGGATGCTGTGATGAATGAGTGCAGAGACATTAGAGTGCTTATTCACTTTCATTCTCATTTCATAGAAAAACAGTCAACGCAGGTTGATGGAGTTCCTCAGTGATTTGCACGTGTCCCCGGATGATATATTCTCATTTCTATCTTTAGCAAAATATTATCTCCAGTCATTTTTTTCTTGACATCAAGGTCTTGAAAGGATTAAACCTTCTCATAAGCAAATGTTGAATAAATGAGCTTACATATAAAGTCCTCCCTGCTCAGAAGCAGTGCCTACTCTTTCTTTGTAACATCAGCATCTCTAGAATGGAAGGAAGCTCTGAAGTAAAGCTACAGGGCTGGTTCTTGTCCTCTCTCCTTGCTTGCTTGGCCCTCTTTGATATCGTGTCAAATATTGTCTGCATTGCATAATGTTTAGCTGTAAAGCCATTCCTCTATTTTTAACAGATTTTTTTTTTACCTTAGCCTTACAGTATGTATGTTGAGATGGTAAGAAATACTGATTTGCAAGGCTTTTCAGCATGCCATCCATGATTAGAAAATATTTTCCTTACCAAATCATGAACATGTAGTTTAACCAAAAGGCATTGTAATTTTCATGCTATGTTGAGTATAAATATAAATTCAAGGCAGCCAAACTATCCATTTCCAAACAAGAATGTACACCTACACTCATTAAAAGTCATCTGGAAATGTGTATTATTAGCAAATGAGTAAGAAATTTTCACTAGTATAAAATTCCTGCTTTATATAAAAGCCACACTGGCCATTCAAGTATTCGAGGTTATTTTTCCCTATAGTTTTTTATAATTCATACTAAATGATAAAATTAGGCTTGAAATTATACTAGAAGAAATTAAAAATCACTTCTACCTATAGGGCATTTTTAGAGTGTGCATGTAAAGAGCAAAGTGTCCATCTGCAGATTCACTATCAGTACTCTTTCTCTCTTCACTCTAAGGAAACAGCTCATGCTTACTAGGTTTTAGAGAACAACAATCCAATGGAGAAGCAACACCAGATTTCCTTCAGTTTGTGCCAGTTTGCAAGTTAAAGGTCAAAGGGCAAAGACATAGAATAGGACGCTTGAAGGAAAATTTTCACAGAAGACAATGTTTAAGTTGTTGTTAATGACAGTCAACAGATCAATAATCAAGTTCAAGGCAAGCTGTTCATTGTTTCAAAAGCTAATCCCCTCAAAAGCTGGCTTTCACACAAAGCCAATGTCTGACTCATGGGGTGCATTCCTTCTGACCATCTCTAATAAGTTCACAGCCCAGTGGCTGTAAAGCCTTTCACTGCAAGAAGCAGCTCCTAAAAATCAATAAAGAGGTCTGTCAGTTGCTGACTTTTCTCTAGGAAAAAAATATTGATACAAACCTGCTCTGCAGGTCATATGAAAATGACAATACTGCTGTTAGGACAAATTACACTCAACAATGAAATGCTTTGGTGGTCTCTTGGCTCTGTCAGTGATCAAATGGATGGCTAAATGCCAGAAGCCACACTAACCCTTTGAGAACTATGGTTGACATTGCCGTAGGCAATGCACTGTAGGATTTTCATGCAACCTCAGAGTCATCAACTTAATTCAGTTTTCAAAATGGCAATGCTAACTGCATATACTAAGGCAAACTGAATTTTATGCAATGGATTTTAAACAAAACTTTGATATATCTCAGAAAAAAAAAAGACTTAAGCTTTTATAACCAGTTGTTCAAATAAAATTTCACTCTTATGAGATACTGTTAACAAAATATGTGTTTTATTTGCCAGAAAATTTTTGGCAAGTAACATTATTGTTCTTTGTTATAAATACATTTATGTATTACTGTAAACCATTTAAGAATTACATGGGATTGTAGGACATGTTTTGAAAACCCAAACTTCTTGGACCTTTGATTGTTTTTTACCATTGCTCATTTTTACAATTTACCAGATCACAAAAATGACAATCCTAAGACTCTGAAAGCTGGTCTGATAGTTCTCAAAGGGTTATACCAATGTAGTAATGGAGTCATAAATCCTTGTAAAATAACTGTCACTTTAATTTGTTTCAGAGACATACTGCTTCTTGCTCTGTTTTGTAATGAATATTCCTGACAGACCCATGGAAGGCCTGGGGCAATGGCCTAATACAACTGGGGAGATTATCACAATGATATAAGAGTCAGGTAGCAAGAAAGGGTATAGAAACACTTCAAAACAATGAAAAGTTCCTGTTTGAATATAGCTATGAATATAAATGTGATGAAACATTGAGGACATAGCTGAGAACAGCTGTATAAAATGAAAAATGGATGTATTATTAAGGCTGTTACTATATTGCAGATATTTTGGCCCCTTGTGTGTTGGAAAATGGCTGTCCCAACAGTCTAAGTCCTGCAAGTGTATTCCAGGTCTCCCACAAGACAAAGTGATGTGCAGGAGACTATCCATAGCAGTCACAGAGCTATCTTCTTTGGAGACAAAGCTGTTTTGGGTCTTCACACTTTCCTGAAAGTTCAATTGTGGACTTTTTAATTAAACTTTATTTTCCTTTGCTTTAAAGCAAAAAACAAAAATGTGGATTATCTGTTTTGCTTTTTTTTTTTTCTCTTTCTCCCTCCCAGAAATGGGCTCAGATTTCAAAACGAAAAAAAAAATCGAAAACTTTTGAGAAGAATCTTTTCTTCTTTTTTCTCCTCTTCTTTAGTTAATCCTGTAATTTCACTGGGCATTGAGCGTGCAGAGGAAAGGCCTAGAACTGAATGACAAAGAAAGACAAAGGACTGAAGAACGGCAGGTACTGTGCGTCATGGAAGCTTCCCCATGAGTGTGTCTTTCACTCATGTGCAGGACCAGCAACCCTCTGGGTTTGGAAGGTCAGCCCCGAATTAGGCTGCCACAAGCCTGCTCCTAGCTAGGAAACAGCATAACAGCTCTTGTCTTGAATCTCAAGTTACCACAAACTCCTGGAAAAGAAAGAAAGAAAGGAAAAAAACCCTACATCACACCCACTCTTGCATAGAGCGCTTACAGTACAGTATGTGGCGGGGTGTTCCTTTCCTCTTGAACTGGAACACAGTGTAAACCAGTACAAGGAGGCATAAGGCCAAGATGCAGGGAATGACAATAGCTATGGCTTTCACAGTGCTGGCTGTGTTGTCCAGTTTGATGACAATGTCTACATCATCTGGTGGGCTATGTCCTTCTTTATCTCGGTCTGTTGGTCCATCACAGCCCATAAAATCCTTGAGGATGGATCTTGGATATCCAGGTTCTACCTTGAGTATCTGGTTGTTGAATTTCCAATATTCCTTTCCTTTGTAGAAATATGTAAAGCCTGGTGGGGGAAAACACACATACACACACAGGTCCCACTTATTCATGAAAGTTTATAAGTCTAGAAATGTGAATGAAATAGGATACTTCTTAAAAGATGTATTTTAAGGCCTTTCAATTTTCATTGGAGGAAAATACTATTCTCACTTCAGCTGCAAATGGCACTGGTTACTTGCTTTATGACTTGTGTCTTCTAATACTTTGCTGGCTTGTAAGAGTGCTGCCTTAGAATTATAAATTACAGTTATAACATCAACCTATATTGGAAGATGCTGAAACAGTTTCATTAATGGAAACACTATTTACCCTCAGTCTATCACTGAGGACACGGTTTAATACATTGTTAAGAAGCTTCTCACCTCTTTACATCTCAAGGGAGCCTTATCATCATCTAACTATCAGGCATTCTTGTGCTCTTCCTAAAGTCAGTTTCCTTTTGTCATTTGGAAAAGAAATCATAGAAAATCATCAGGCTGCAGGTGTTTTCTTTAGTCTACCAGTAATCTTCTTAAGAAATAAATAGGTATTTACAATACTTTGCACAGTAACCTCATGTCTGGCCCTAGATCATGCTGATTTTGTCCTTTTTCTTTTTGTCTCCTTTATTTAACTTTCTTACTTAGTGTTAAGGTTTTTCTCCCTAGCTATATTTTAGAGAAATTTTAAAGTCTTTATTAATCCTTTTAGGAATAAAGTTAAACAAATCACAATCTTATTTTTAATATTTCTAAGTAACTTATATTTCATGGGAGGTATGGGAAATCTCAAAAAACTCAACAGTATATATAGTTTATGTTCCAAAATAATATGGTTGTCAATAATTGACTGTGTAAATTTGTGAGTGCCTGACATATAAAAATTACAAACATGCATTTTCTTAGAACTATTCATCAAAAAATTAGGTACACATTCAGTCTGTTTTTCTGTCTATAGTTCTTTCATGTTTTATTTGTTTGTTTATTTGTTGACTATGCTACTTGGACTTAATTCTTGTTTTAAGATAAAACCAAATCAATGACAACCAAAAAAAAAAAAAAGCCAAGAAGAAATGTGTTAATGCTATATTACTTAAAAATGTGTTTGAAGAGTTATTGATTTTGGATATAATGCATAGTTTACAATTCATTTTCTTGAGAACTTTCTATTTTATTGAGAAACCATGTTAAAAGTTCAGTATATGTCATCTTTTAACCCTCATTACCACGCCATCAAGTAGAATTAATTTCCCATTCTTTTCAGGCAGAGATATTTTGGATCAGAGTTAAATATATGTGCCTAAGCCCTGGTGAAAGCAGGATTTAAATTGTGTTCTACATATAGAACCTGCACACATAATGATTTTTCTAGTTAAACATCAATGGTTGGAATAAATATCATTCCTGGACTAAAGAAGTCTGACATCTCACAAAAAAACTTCAGATAAGGTAGACTGTGACTTCAGATCACTTCATTTTGAAAATCATTTTGTTCAATGCCATAAAAACCTGCTGTGGTTTTTGGTTTCAAAGGACAGTTTTGCAATCAGAGCAACTTGCCAAGTAAAAACAGGTGAATGTAGATTCAAATTTTTCTGCAGGGAGCTAGTATTTGATTACTCTAATGAAATCCAGTGTAATTACTCAGTGAGCGTGGATGAAGAAAGATTGATGGCCTGCCAAAAGACAGTACAGTACAGTAAATGATCATAGTTGAACAATGGCATTGATTTAGAATTAAACAGACCTTCAAAATAGGTGAATGTATTTCTATGTTTATAAACTGGTAAACTAACAGCTGGAAGCACCCTTATCTTCAATTTTTAGCCTAAACTAATTACTACAAAGCTATCAGGAATCTCCCAAAAGTCAAGAATATTCCTTTTTTGTATTTAACAGAACTGGAAGTCAAATTTTCTGGCAGTATACTCCATTACAAAGGTGTAGAACTGACTGTCACTAAATATACTTTTTAGAAATAAGAAATCAAGTCAGTAGGAGTTAGATAACATAAGTATTTGAAAAGAAATAGTCTGAAATCTTAGTAACAGAAATATGTCAAATTTTGAACCTGAGAAATTCATCTTGTTCAATAATTTAGTACTTTTCATTTATGAAATACCGATTGATTGAAGAAATGATTAGGTAATTGTGGGGTTTTTTTTCCTTTGTAAATGTAGCTTTGATGTTATACTCCATACATGTTATGGTTATCAAGAAGAGAAATTTTGAGGACCCAAGGACATGGTTCAAGTGGTAGAATACTTGTCTGGCAAGCACAAGGCCCTAAAATTCAATTCCCAGTATCACCAAAAGGAGGGGAAAAAAGAGAAATTTTGAGAAAGAAATCAAAGACGTTTCCATAGTGTTATTTTATGATTTTTTTGCCTCTTATATTTGACTGGACCTTATTGGTTACTCTTCTATTGCTTCTGCTTAAAAAATATAATGACACACTCCCTCATAGTTGCCTTATTATAACTAAATGACTATTTACCAATTTTAGTGCCTTTGTATTCTGTTTTCTACTCCATGTTTATCGTTGGTGTTTGATAAACATTAATGAGTGAACTGAATCTTGAATAAATATTATGGAATGAGTCAAACTCATAGGTTTTGACAAAGTGAGTATCAAGGAGGATAATTAATACCACCAAATCAAAGAACCAAGAGATAAAACAATTAAAATTAAAAGCTAAATTTGGAGGTGCAAATACTAAAGTGGAATGTAGCAATGTTAAAAGTAGAATCTATACTTCAAAATTAAAATCATAAGGAAATAAATAAAAAATATTGGAGCAGTGTGGTTTGATGGAAATTAATGTAGGAATAACTTTAAGGAGAGGGTGAGTCTTTACCATCATTTTAGTACAGTTACAAACTCATGCTGTTGCTTAAAAATCACCATTGACTAATGAATACTAACAGGAAATCATTCTATAGTCTCTAAATCTTATTACTAACTACTTAAGCAATATAATATAGAAATAAATATGCTAATCTCCTCAGCAGTACTGGGATTGAACTCAGTTCAAACTCTACCATTTGAACCACATCTCCAGTCTGATTTCTCCTCTTTGAAGACATGTATCAGAGGAGACTCTTTGAGGCTAGAATGTTCTAGTTTTAAACCTTAGATATACATCTAACTAATTTTATGGTCAGGAACAAGTTATCTAAACTAGCTGAATGTAGGACAAACCAGATAATACATGTAACACACTTGCTGCATAAATTCATTATGTAGGCATTCAAAAGGTGCCAGATAGTTCTATTCCATGGCCAAGATGGCAGAATTAGTACAAGTAGACATTATAGGAAGACATATTCCACCTTAATATGAAAAACATAAAAACCTATAGCTTATTTTCAAGCTTGTGGATTTTTAAAAATTACCATTAGGAGAGAATTTCTACAGCAATTGATTTCTTATAGTGGTTGGAAGAGTGAACTGTAGAAAATGTTTCAGCATTCCATCATTTTTGATTTTATGGTTGTCAAGTATAACCATCTTTTGTTCCTTGCTATGGAGTCATTATACATCTACTCTAGTCTGTATTAGTGTGATCTTCCTTGTTTGTGGATACTCTAAGACAAAGAGAATGAAAAATTATAACTCCCCATGTGCTATTAATGGGTGTCTTTGTGTTTCAGCTGGCACTTATATCATCCTTGGGAAAAATTCTTGTCCTACCTATGTATGTTATTATTTTTACAGAAATTTTAACACAAATGTAGATGAGGTTACTTCAAAGATATCCATAGTCTCTATATTAAAGTATTGCCTGCAGTTTTTCTAATGATTTTTTAGTAGATGTAAGTTAAGGTTGAAAAATAGCTAGAGTGTAAGAATAAATATAAGTCTAGAAAGGAAAGTTCATATAAATATATTGTGTAGCTCTAGTATGGTATTTTCTAATTATTTAACATAGTGAAAAATAATAAGGTTATTATTAAAATAGTTAGGAAACTTATGAAATGTATAATGCACATGTTGCATACCATTTTCTTTGTGCACAAAGGCTCCCTGAGGAGATTCAGGGATCCCTTTCCAGACTGTGATGGGTTTTGGATAGCCAGGGTCCATGGTTTTCATTTCTTCACTGTATCTCCAATACCTGAAAAGGACAAAATAACAGCAAAACATGCATAGGAAAAAAGTTATGTATAAAACAGTTATAACTAACATTATAATTAACATTGTTACCTGTGTACTTGTCATGATTTAAAATATCTGATTTTCACTGGAATGATAGTGAGCATAAAGAACTTATACTACTTCTTCCCCACATATGTTGCGATCTGTTATTGTATATACCTTGTATATGTTAAAATGAATATTTATTAATAAATTCTAAATATATTATGCTAAGTATACATATAATTCATGTTTTGAATACAAGAAAAATGCTCATCCACTTACTATTTTTTCTCTGAAAAATAAGCTATGGATTCAACTAAGAACTAAAGATCATATTCAGTTTGGAACACTGTTAGTAAATCATGTAAGAGATATAGCTATTATTATAGAAAAAACTTGGGAATTTGCACAGGAGAGTCAGTAAATGATAAAGACTAATACAAATGAACATTATAGATTTTCTTTTGATTCATCAGTTATATTTACTAGAGAATTTTGCATTAAATTAGATGGTTCACTAAGAGAAGCATTCTTAATCAATACTTCAAAATGAATTGTGATCAGATGTAAGATTTATTAATCAGTTTTTCAACTTAATCATGGATCTCATTCCATAAGGAATAAGAGTTGTGCAGATTACAGTATACAAAGTTTTAAAATTCTATGTATTTTAAGGAAACAAAAAGGTATCGAAAATTCTGTAGGGAAATATTTCAATGAGATGATGTTGCTGTTTAGTGTACTCCAAACCAAACCCTAAGTGGATCCAAATGTACCCCAGTCATTTCTTTATCTGACTTGATCTCAAGACTCTCCTCCAGAGTCAAGATTACTTGCTTCTGTTAAGCTAGGACAAAACATAACACCTTCTCTTTTTTCATACCCAAATAATCATATAAAATCTCCCTTTTCAGAAACATACTTAAAAATTCAGCAGAATAACAAAATATTATTTTGGCTATAATTATTTAAAAATACATTAGATAATTACTTTATAAACATTTAACTTAAGCTGGAAGAAGTCAAAGTATTAGTTCACTTGACTATTAGCAATAATCTAAAAAATTCTAAAATGGATCAAAATTTTGTGTTTTTATTTGAAAATACCTTAAAATTTTCAATAGTTAAGCTTAGCACGAAATATGCACTCTTGGATATATTTGTGAGAAGATATTGAGAGATGAATCAGGAAGACAGCATTTTAGAGCTAAATGCTATGGACATCAAAATGTATCTAAGTACTACATTCCAGTGTATTGCAAAAAGGGCGAGTAGGAGTCGGGGGGAATGAATTCCATGCTGAATGTGAAATAGTACATATTTTAATCTGAATTTACAGATCTATTTAAAGAACCATCATTTCCTCTATTCTTTGGGTGTCTCTACACCTGGAGGATTTCATGTGGATCTGTGCTTTCAATGCCTTCTTTATGTCAATCACTGTCAAATATGTAACTCTGACTGACTTTCTCATTAAGATGCAAACTCAATTATCTAACTACCAAATTGACTTCTCTTTATTTGGTGTGTAGATAGGCACCTCATATCAAATACAGATATTTTCAATTCTCTTAATCCCCTTCTCCCAATATTCTTTCTGCTAACTCTTCCAAATCCAGAAATGGTACTATCTACTCAACTACTTAGGTGAAGAAGGTAAAAATCACCACTGATTTGCTTTGTTCATCTCCTCTAAAATCTAAGCTCTAAGAACAACTTGCTTGATTTCATTGAAAATGTGTGTGGTAGTCATCCACCTTGCTCCATTCCCAGTGCCACTGCAATGCATCCCTGTAATCTTTTAAAAGCCTCCCAGTTACACTCGTGCTTCCACTTTTGAAGCCCATTCTTCACAGAGAAGTGAGAATGATCTTATGAATATACATGAACTAGTGTAATTTTGCCCATTAAACACCCAATGTCTTAGAAGTTAGTCCAAACACTTTGCTTTGGCCTACAGGACTCCGTGTAATCTAATCTATGCTCACCTGCTTGACCTCTCCTACCACCTAATCCCTTACTGTGGTAACAAAACTTTTTCCTGGTTTTGAACATTGCACCTTCATTCTGAAATTATTGTCTTTGTACAGCTACTTCATTTCTCTATAACACATTGATCTGAACAGCTTCATATGGGTGAAATGTCTCCCTACTCAAACCCCTGCTCAGAATTTTTGAATAAATGAACAAGAGGTAGGATAGGACTGGTACAGAAATTTTAGGGAGGCAGATATTAAAGCTATTAAAAACATAATGGACTGCCTCATATTCCTGCTATCAATTCAGACAGGCAGAGTTAAGTAGGTTGCTAAATCCAGAATAAGTATTGTGACTATGGAATTATATGGTTATACAGATGAAAAGTAATTAGTTTATGAAACATCTGTAACTAATGACATATTACATAAGATCACATTCATGGAAATTATTTGGAATCCTATTTTTAATATTTCCAAAATCTATAAAAATCACAGTAATTTAAGTTAAACAAAATTAATAATAGTTACTTCTATACATTTTTCTCTGATTTACATATAACTTTTCAAGTAGAAAGCAAATAAACTGGGGGGGCATGGGTGAGAGATAGCCCAAAAATGTATACACATATGAATAAATATAAAAACAATACAAAAAAAGAAAGCAAATAAACTAAAATGATTTTTCTTGTTTGTTAACAGTCTATATTCAATTAGAAAATTGGTATCTAGCCTTCATCAATTTCACTAATTTGAGATATCCCATATTTAATCTGTAAAATTAAAATTTCTAGTCAGTGCTAAATATTTAGAATGACAAGATTTTACAAGTATTCCCTGTATACAGGGATAAAGGACTATCTGATTATAAAATGGAAGTTTTTAATTATCATGTATGAAACTCTTTAGTTTAAACTGCTATATGAAAGCTAAACTTTTATTTTCTGCCCCCCAAAACCTAATTTCTACAAGGTGTTTCCTGAGTTTTTTGTTTCTATTCCTTTCTGTCTTGTACCTGATCATGAAAGAGTGTATATAAGTAATTAAAACCAGCTGCAGAATTAGATAACTTTAAGAATCACAACATGCTAAAGAATATGTGAACTAGGTGTCGTGGCACACGATTGTAATACCAAAGCTTGGGAGGCTAAGGCACGAGGTCTGAGAGGTCAGCCTGGGCTACATAGTGAGTTTGAGACCAGCCTGCGCTTTATATAGTAAAACCCTGTATGAAAACATGAAACAAAACAAACAAACAACAAAAAAATTCAAAATAAAAACAAACAAAATCCCCACCACTACCACCAACAAAAACCATCATATGTTATAAATCTGTAGATTATATGAGTGGTCACTATTCTGTGTCAACAAAGTTGATCATTTATCTCCCTTTATTCTAGATTAATTTACATTCTGTTGAGATCTATACTTTTTGTGCCTATAAGTAACATTTCTTTGGTGTAGTCTATTATTTGTGATTTTGTAAGAAACATTTTAGCAATGCCTTGAATTAAAATTTATGAACATTTTGCTGTAGAAATACATGTATATAAAATTAGTAACAGAATAAATTTAAAAGTGTACATTCTTATTCATGGAGGCCAGTTACTGTGTCTTTTTGTTCAGATAAATCTCAGTGTTTGAAACCATTTGTAATTATAAATTGTAAATTTTTAAATAAACAATTTATATCCTTAGTTATTTTTCTCCAAGTTTGGAGATATTTTATAGGGTTATTTGATACAAAAATAATAAGGCAAACTGTATACTAGCATGTTTGGCATGAAAACCTGTTGGTCATATATGTGTATTTTTAAAAATTTACTTGTGATATGCAGTACAACGGCATACCTTAGCCTTTTCTACAAACCAGTGAAGGTTACTTATGAGTTTTATATTGTGACCTAGCTAGTAATATTGTAATTGAAATTTGAGTTTTTGCCTTTACTACTTTTCTACTTAAAATACTTAACATGATATAATATATTCTTCAGCTTGCATTTATTTTGTTTATGAGTCTGTCATTGGGTGGGCAGGAGTGGAGTCATATGGATCAAGTAGCTGGCATGAGTTTCAAGACTAATAATTTAGATACATTTTGTTGACTCTGTTAGCAATGTCATGAAAGGAAAAGAAGATGAACTGAGAACAAAACAGCTAAGAAGGAATGTTATGCTTCAAGCTAAAAATATTTCTCCCAGTGACAGTTTGTAATTGGTCACACACATGCATCTAAATAAATAGCTTCTTAGGAAGTACAACCCATGAGTAAAAGGAAATTGTTTGAAAATAGTCCTAATTAATTGTGCCACAAAACATATGACAAAACGTATTTTTTTCCTAAATAAAGCTAAGTGAAGTTACAAGCAAAGGTATTGCAAGGACACATATACACTATCTACATGGACTCATAGGCATATTAAAAATCATGGGGAAAAGAACGTATACCACGGTAAATATGTACATTCACAAGAAGGTTGCAGTTGAACGTGTTACATGATGATTTATCTTAAATATTACTTAAAACATATTAAAGATATTTCTATTGCATTAATTCTGGTGTTTAGATCCATACAGTTTCTTTACCAAGAGTACTTTCCTATGACAGGCTAAAAACACTGATTTCTTAAAATATTAGTTAACTGCTTTCCTCATGTGATGTGTGTACTGACCTGTCCCCTTTGAAGAAATAGGTTTTTCCAACATCCTCCCACCAAATGGCTGAATCAATACCATGAGGGGGAATTCCACTTCCAAGAGTAATCAAGTCATGAGGGTAACCAGGTTGAAGAGTTGTGTCCTTGAACACCCAATATTTGTTACCTGTATGAAATAAGTGCAAATGTAGAATACATTAACTTAATGTCAGACTAGAATACATCTATTCAGCAGAATGTATTTAAATTTGTTATGCAAGAAGTTCTTAAGTTAGTAGCAGCCACATCTGAAATATTGATGTTCTTTTTGAAATATCAGTTCTATTTTCAAAAGTGGATATAACGAATACTCAAAGTACTAAAAATTTGAGAGTAAGTTTAAAAAATAAAATAGAACAACTACTGAATAATATAGTAAAATATGGACTTTAATTTAAAAAATAAAATAGATCTGTAAATTAGCCTTAACAAAGAACAAAACCTAAATCAAGGGTAAAGGATTATTCCCCTAGAAATCAGAGGTATTATTTTTGTGTAAGTCTAAATCATTCCGGTGTTTTGTGCATTCTGTATGCCTTCAAATTGCTTTAGTGATTATAACCTCTATTCTATTAAAACACTTCCTTTGGGCTGATCCTTTCCTTTTATTATATAAACATTTACAAGGCTCTATAGTTTTATCAAGTCCTCATTCTTTGAACCTATGCCTTCTCCTGACTGTAAAACTATCCTTTTCTTTAAGAAGACTTCCTAAGGGCAGGAAAATTTAAATGCCAATCTTATATGGAATTGCCAAAGCACAACAATACTAAAAAGCAGTCTGACTCAAGTTGTATTTCTGTTTGAACATTCTCTACAGACAACACAGTTCCTCATACCCTGTGCCCCTGGCACAGCTCCTACTCAGTGTGCCTATCTAGTAGTCTATAGCCATTTCTCACTCTACAATCTTTATATAGGAGTCATTAATGTTCTTAACTAAACAATTTTTCACTTTTATCTGGTGACACAACTAACCACTTAAAGGTTCCCCTCAAAGCAGTAAGAAAGCTATTTCCTTTTGGTTCCTCTCTTCTCTAGGTATTCCCAATTATTTTACTTAGTTTATTTATTTATTTATTTTTTGGGTACTGGGGTTTGAGTTGGGGCATTATGCTCTACTCCTTGAGCCACTCTCACTCTTCCAAACTTTTTTTTGTATTGGATATTTTTGAGATCAGGTCTCACTGCTTTTTTTCTTTTTGCCTGGATTAGCTTCCAATCACAGTCCTACTGATCTCTGCCTCCTAAGTAGCTAGAATTACAGGCATGAACAACCTGCATCTGGTTTATTCAGTCCTTGACTATTGATGTTTGCCAGAATAGAGTCCTAGAAACCAACAATTTGCCAAGATACTGTTCTCTGCTTTTTCTTCTTATTCTGAATCAGGATGGATCACAAACTCAAATACCTACAAGGGCAGGTTGGAGATGATAGAAGCGGATATCATCTAATCATATCACTAATATTGAGACACTTGCATCAGAGTCAGTAAATATCCATTGCCTAAAAGGCTAGTTTCCCTCTTCCTCTGAACTTCCTCCTGAACTTTTTATGATCTAGTAACTTCTTGAATAACCAACCCCTCCTGGGGTTAATAATCTAGCAAAATAGGTACTCTTAAATCCTTATTAGTTGATATAAGTTTTAATTTTGTAATATTTCAGTACTACCTCACACCCAGGTATTAAAAATTAAAAAATGGGCTGCTTTAAAACTACACAAAACAAAATGAAACATTTTTAGGTTGGATTTAACTAGGAGCCATTAGTTCACGAGCATCAGTAATCTCATTTATTCCAGGACCTTCTACTACCATTGGCTATAATTTAAATTAAATTATTGAAAATCTTGGTGTCTCAAGCATATGTTAGGTGTTAAGGATATTAAAGAGGATAAGACAGACCTCTTAACTCCATGATTATCCGACATGTTAGTAGAAGAGGCAGATTAAAAACCAACTATGTACATATATAACGTAGTAACTAAGGAATTAATGAATATTAAGAAGAAATACACCTGAGTGTGAGCCAAGGAAAAAAAAAGGACAATTTACTTTTAGGCCTGGGAAAATCTCTGTAAATAAATAAACATGACAACTCTAAAGAAAGAAAAAAAAATATGCAAAGAATGTTGGGAAGAGTGATTCAATTAGAGGAGAATTTGATATCAATGATTTGAAAAATCAGTGTAAAGTAATGAGCAAGGAGAATGGTACTGAAAACCAGCATAGCGGACTAATCTTATTTTGAATGCACTGGGGAAGTCATCATAGAGATTAAATTAGTGAAGGGATTCCTATTTTCAAAAGATGGTTTTGTTCTTTTTTGAAATGTGGATTACAGAGGGAAGACTACAAATGAATACACCTGTCAAGGATCATTCATTCGTAGCAGGCACTGCTGTAGGCACTAGAGCTATAAGAGTGAACAAGAAGGGTTACATTTCTATCTTGTGCAATTTATATTGTAGTGAATGGATATGAGAAAACCAACTTTAAATAAATAAACACACAAGTAAAAATTCTTTCAGAGAAAAAGTGCTGCAAAAATAGAAAAAGGAAAAGGATAAGTTAGGGGCTACATTGTGCTAGACACAGGAAAGTTCTCCCCCATCCCCAGTTGTGACTTACATAATTAAAATGTGTTAGCACGGTGAGGATTATTTGAAGCAGAGGAAAGATAATAAAACAAAAGCCATGACCAGAAGGACTTTGTGTAGCTAGCACAGAGTATGTATGGTAGGAGAGGATAGGAAGGATAGAGGTGGAAATCATGCAATGTTTATAGGGGCTTGAATTTTATTTTAGAATAGAAAGTCATTGAGTAGTTATGTTGAAATATTCTTTGATAGTAGTTTGAGCTAATGTTCAGAAACAGGAGGGAAGGGGAAAAATCAATTCATGACATTCTGGAGACAGAATTGATAGGCATTGCTGAGGGAATGACCTGAGGGAAAGAAAACAACAATAACATCAAGAATGAGACTCAAGTTCTAGCTTATATAAAGAAGAATCAAAGTGTTATTGAATAGCACAAAGAAGACTGGAAATGTGTAGGTGACTTAAATCATGAATTTGAGATGTCAGTGAAATGTCCACATAAAGAAGTTATGTAAGTAAATGAATATGTTAGTATGAAGAAAACAATTTATAAAACACTACCCTAAATATGGTATTTACAATTTAGGATTTGGTGAGATCACCCAAGGGACAGAATAGGGCTTTTGAAACATGTGAGATCACATAAAAGGAAGAGGGAAGATCACATAAAGGAAGAGGGAAGAGTAGACAAAGAGAAAGAAGCAGAGATGAGGATTAAAATAATAGAAAATTGAGAAGCCAAAAAGAAAAAACAATGGTTCACTATAGGCTAAATATCTCTTGAATGCCAGTTTATATAATTACCTTTTGGAATTTTCTACAGTTGACTCACAAGTCCAAAACTAAATTCATTGTAATACCTTTTTTCTTTTTTTTCCCTACTTCGGTAGATGGCATACTCCTTATTCAGTGGTTTATGTCATAAACCTCCTTGTTCATAATTTTTCATGTTTAATGAGTCATTACATTCAACTGATTTGAATTTCTAAGTCTCACTGGCACTTCCCTCCTGAAGCTCATTCTTATTGTCACTAGTCTTAGGCATTTTCGTTCTCCCTTCAGAAGGTAACCATTGTTCTTCATATTCTTCATCGACCACTCCAACTCTAGAACTAGCCAAAATGCTGCAAGTTAAGCTATGGAGATATGGCTTTGTCAGATGATGACAGATGAGGAAAACAATCTATACTTTTCTCCTGGACGTAATCTAGAGAAAATTGACAGATTTTCTCACTCAGCAGGAGGAACTATTCATCAGATAGTATGAAGACTGAGAATCCACGATAGCCATAGGCAAGCAGACTTGTTGAGGAGGTAGAAATTCAGTAAAGCAGCTGGATTGAAAGAGAAAAGAGAATAGAGTTGATGCAAAGAACAAAACTATGAGTGAGAGAGAGACCAGGTGGCCTGGCCTGTTAAAACAGATGGCAAGTGTACTTGAGTTCTTGTCTTATACCAGAAATCCCCCCCAAACCTAACTAACTCAATTGCATTCATTTTTCTTTTAAGTGAGTGACACTGTCCAATAAAAAGTTTGGACACTCAAATGTTATGTAAGATATTAGGTGCATTTGAGCCTCCATGTCAGCTGACCAGATTCTGGCTATTAGCCAACACATCATGTTGTTTTCCAGCCAGCTTTAAGAACAACTTTGTAGCTTGCATTACTCAAAAACTCTCCTTCATTATCATCCTGCTTCCAGTCTGTCTCCTTTTTATCTATCTTCCACAAAGTCATTAAAGGGATTTCCCTTTAGTGCATAACTAACTTTGTCTCTCTTTTGTTTAAAATTTTCAGTATTTTTTAAATTGGATTTAGGATAAAATTCAAACATATATGTCAATTAAAGTTTCTTTTCTGTATAGGTTAGTTATCTCAAACTCATTCCATTTGCCTTCATTTTTGAAAAGGTAAGGGGCAGGCTTTCAAAATTTAGTTTAGGGTCACTTCTCTGGGAAACACTTCCTATCTGAGTAATGTGAGCTTATTATAACGTCAGTGTCCCCAGTCTTTACCATCATCATATTTCTTAGTACATTAGTTGCCCCCACTCTAGGCTGTGAGAAACTTGCGGGCTCACATTATATTGACACATTATTTTCCAACAGCACCTCCTATATAATGCCTGGACAATAAAATATGCCTAATAAGTGATTATTGATTCAAAGAACCAATATTACATGAATAACCAAATATAGGATTAATAATTTAATAAAAAGGGACAATAAAGGCTACTAAAATAACATGGTGGCCATTAGTCTTGAAATCTTGTTAATGGAGAGGAAAAGTGAATTTTATAATCACTGGTAAGTATAAGCATCTATAAAGCTATGGTCCAGTATTGCATTGGAAAACCATTTATACAAGTGATTATATTTAACTGCATTGGGAAATACTGCCATACAAATACACATCTATCCCTTATATGGAAATTTTGTAGACAAAAAACCTCAGCCAAAGGTCCAGATCACTTCCTTTCCAGAGTCAATAAGACAGCATGCTTTATGTTTTACTCCTGTGGTT